GATGATAGCTACTAGCCACATGTGACTGTAATTATTAAGAAATTAAGAATTTAGAATTTTACTTAATTTTAAGGATTTAAATTTACATGTGGCTAGTGGGTACTGTATTAGACAACTAGAAACAGAAACTAGAGACTGTGGCCTGCTTTTATATGGCCCTTGAACTAACAATGGTTTTTTTTTGTTTTTAAAGGACTGTAAACACAAACACACACACAGGAACACACTGGTGCACATATACACATGCAAATGAAGAAGAATATTCAGTGCAACAGGGACTATACTGTGGTCTGCTAATCCTAAACTAGTTTTTTGCCCTTTATGAAAAAGTTTGCAGACTCCTGACTTAAAATGATAATTAGGCATGCATATTTAGGAAATAAATTTAAAGGCAGATACTTTGGAAAACACACTATTTTCCAGCATTCTGGAATTTTTATATTTGTGGGATGATATGTTACCATTAAGAGATTTGTAAATGTTTTGAATGACAGTTTTGAGTTTTTAGTGGTATGAAGACCTTAATTTAACTTTCCCATTGAAAGTTGATAATGTTTTATTTCATGTTTATGATGGATAAATTATCAATATCATTTAAAGTTTGATGAAGTAAAGATATGTAGATTTTAAACTTTACAAAACAAGATTAGTGATAGCCAATGCAAGTTTTTCTCTATTATTAAGTGTTCATAGTTAAGAGATGGGAGAGCAAAATTTAAAATTTGGAATGCCTTAGAATTTGCTTTTATGTACCTTCTACTGAAATATTTTGCTTTCTCTGTGTATCTGTGGGAAGTATGACAAGCTTCAAATTATTTTATTCCTAGATTTTGAATTTTAAGAATCCATAAAAATATATCTTATTGTTTCATCCCCTGGAAAATTTTCTCAGAGATATTCATTTTAAGGTATTGAAAAATTTAAATTATCAAATTCACAGTATTTATAATTTGTTATTCCAAACTTACGCCATGAGCTGTATCCAAAATAATTTGAGTAACATTTAGCATTTTTTTAATTCCAAATGACTTGACTCATTCTGCAATATCTCTTCAGTTTCGTATATACTTTCTTAAATGATGTGTCATATTACTTGATGCCAATGTTTGTAATCTGAATAAATATTCTTTCATAATATTATCAAGTTTTACTATGGTCTCGGCCAAATGCAAAAAATTTCCACTATCACTCTCAGAAATTTCTTTGATGATCTTGTGAACACATTTGCCTTACCAAAATCAAACGTATGTATATTATATATTCAACAACAACATGCCATATCTTCAGTTAGTCTGTTTTTCAACAAAAGTAATTACTAATTTTTCCAAATTAGTTTTTAATTATAAATAGCTAACACTGTGATAGCTGTCCAGTTTATTTTATTGACATTTCCTCATTGCTCATGACTGATTATTGCTCATTCTTAAGTAATGGTTGATGTTTTATATCTCTGAAGAAATTCAAAACAAATACAAGACTGTTTGCATGAAATAACCAGAACATTTGAGTTTTTTCATCTGAAAAAAAAAATCAGAATAAAATAAATATCCTCAAACTTCCTTCTTGCTCTGTCTTAGGTAAATTTAAACTTTCTTGTATAAGATGCATAATTTTCAGCAAGAGTGGCTTATTGCTGAATATTTTAAAATATGTCCACCTTCTAAGATTGTAAGGGAATATATTTTGTTTGATGATTCTTCAGAATTTGTTTTTGTCTGCTAGATTTTCTTGAAAGTAGTCATTGACATGAAAGTGGGAGATAAATAATTTCATGTACCTTTCCATCAGTGACGATTTGTACTATATTCTGCTAAAATTAATAGCTCTGATGTCTTTTCCTCTGCCTTTTTTTTTTTTTTTGGTAATTCACTCTAAATTCTCCAAAATTTTTCTAATGTCCCAAACATTGTGTGTGTAGTTTCCCATTTTTTTCTTGTTTCAATAATATTTATTATAATAAAATAAGCTGTTTCAATAATTATCTTCTAGTAATTTCATTGTAAATCTTATTGCACTTATAGTACATAGGAAAAATAGCGAAATATAATATATGATATAATACTTAGCATATACTGGGAAAAACAGAATATTTTAAAACAGCATTTTATTTTATGCTGATCAAATTTATGCACTAAATATTAACAATTCAATTAAAGAATGGGTCATTATATATAAATCATTAAGCCTTCATTAATATTTATTTTTTGATTATTAATGGATAATCACTTGTTGCATTTATGTAATTTGTATCATACTGGAAGCATCTTTTACTTAAACAGGGAACTCAGTTTAGGTAAAAGACACTTTTGTTGTTGTTAAGCAATAAATGTATAATGTGATTTATAATGAAAATATATTTTTGTTACAGTAAACAGTAAGTAAATAATGTGAATTACAATGAAAATATATTAAATATAACCAGTGCATTAAGATCAATGAGAGATGCTTTTATTTTTATGAATATATACACATATATGTGTACATTCATATAACAGTAAATTAGTTGATTGGTTAATCATTTGATTTATTGATATATGGATAGATAAATCGACTTATAGGTAGATAAACATTGTTCAGAAGCACAGGTTATAATATGTTATTAAATCAACACTGGTTTTTGATTCACAAATCTTTATCAAACTTGTTCCTCCTTTATAAGCCCCAGTGAAATTATTTATAATGACTCCATCATAATGGAATACTTTATACCCTCTACTGGATGTTTTAATAAATCTGCAAGACTCCTATTTTGGGGTTAAACAGTTATGGTTTTTATATAAAACTTAAAATGATTATGTTTAAAATGAGTGGGACACCCTGAGAAGTATTATGCTGTATTCAAATAACCAAAGCAGTTCAGTATTTCACTTTTTACTTACATTCTTGTACTTTCCAAAAGAATATGCAATGAGTCAAGGGAGATTGTGTTGAAAGATAAATATCATGTCTAATGGTTATGCATCATCTGTTGCTTAAATTTTGACATCGCCCCTACACCTCCCTGAATAACTGATTTCCGAGATAGAAGTACCTATACAATTATTTATTAGATTTTTCTCAGGATTCTCCTAAGTCATTCATACAAAGAGATTTTTAGTAACCCATCTCATCAAATGCCCAAATAAGAACACCAGTGCTGATCACAGTTTAGAGGTATTTCCTTTCCCCAGATACAGAAGTATGTATCTTTCTTTTCTCTTTCTCTTTCTCTCTCCTTCCCTCTCTCTTTTTCTTTCTTTCTCCCTTCCTTTATTGTCTTTCATGCCATATTACACAAAAGGAAGTAAATATGAGATAGGTGCGAATGTAGAAAGTCAGCATCAAGCTATTAAAGCTTTCAAAAGGCCATGTGAGGAACGTAAAATGATGAAGCAGTAGAATACATAATGCTAATCTCTTTCATCCAGTCAGTGACAACATAATGTTTGCAGTTTGTTGTTCCTGTTTGTTTTCATTATGCTAATGTACCCAATGATATTTTATAATATTTTGTATTTGGAACTTGAATTTTAATATACAGATTTCATTAAACTATATAATATGTAAAAATAAAATCCATTGAAATAGAGAATGGTTCAAGTTATTCAGCTTAAATAAGCAAAGCTACAAGTAGCCACAGTTAAAGCTGGAAGACAGTGGTCTGACTATCCTGAGCCAAGGAAAGATATCATTCTTTAATATGTCAAATCTCTTTGCAATTGTTTAATGGGTATTTTATTGTTAACATCTTACTTATTTTTGGAATTTGAAAATACATAATTGATTTTAAAATTATAATGCATAATTTATTCAAAAACAGTGAAAGTGGAAATAAAAACGATGACATATTTTTTAAATTGCATTGATTAATTTAAAAATTAAAGGAAATTTTCATGGTTCTATGCAATGTACTCTTGTGGAAATATTTTGTTGTTGTTTCTCTAATCTGTTAATTTGTTGTATGTAGCTTGAATTTAGTTTTCTCACCTTATATGGTTACATTGTGTTCCCAGTGTCAGCAGTTGACTTTTATATATCAACTTATTAATTCTATAGGCAAGCTCATTTTAAATAACTATTATACAACTTTTCCTTTTGCTCCATGTACATTGACCTCATAAACAGATACAACTCTGATATGAAAATGTCATGTTTTCTCTACAACTGCAATGCTACCATATACTTTCTTTCAAAATATGATCAATAATAGCCTCTATTACTTTAGTTTGTTAAGATACCTTCTTGCGATCATTCTACATGCAAAAAAAAAAAAAAAAGAATAGATTATAAGACATGGATGCCAGCTCATTATACACATAATTGTATCCTTAGCCCTTTCAACAAAACAAAAGCAGTTTAGTAATGTAGCCATGTATGTCTTTTATTGGAGTGGATCCTAAAATGAGATAAAACAGTTGGTGTTGTTTTATAGGTAGGGATAATTGAGGTAGTGAAGTACAAGACTTGCGGATATTTACCCCTGATGTGCTGCTTAGAATACGTAAGGATCCAAAAGTGAAGTTGTTGTTTATCCTTCAATCACTTCATCTTTTTATTCATCCTCATTATGTTCAAAACATTCTGGCAAATTCAGACTGTGTTTTTATCAAACAACTGGATCAAATTGAAACCAGATATTCTAATTTGACTTTTAAAGTTTCGCCTCTGTCTTTGGAGAGGTTCCTGAGTGTCTTACATTGTTTGGCAGCACATAAATGGCACAAACAACCCTTCTTATGCCAGAAGAAATCATTTTGAAATTCTCTATTAGAAAAGGAAACTTCAGTTGATTTCTTATTATGAAGTATGTAGATATTTTGCAACCATATAGAAATTGATATAAATTGTTTCATATGATCTGAATATTGGCAGAAATGAAATTAAATTCAGTATTACATTACATTTTAAAGACTATATAGGTTCAAAATTTCTACAACATTTGTGTGGCCTTTCTATTATACAAACCATAGTTTTCTTATGGTTATTTTTAAGGCTTTAACGTATTTAATTTTCTTTTTCAGGAAATGTACCCAAAAAGAACTCTGAGAGAATATACTCTATTGCCCTGCTGTGATTAAACAAGACTGCTGTATTTTGTAAGTTCATCTATTTTTATCTTTATTCTTTAAATAAAGAAGACTTTCTGCTGCAGAAAATCCCTTTTCTCATTTTGAATTAGAGTCTAATTTTGTTTTAATAGGTTTAATTGATTTTATTTTTTACAAACTTTGTTTTACCTCAGTTTTATTCAGTTTCAATGAATAATGAAAAGGCATTTCTTTTTTTAGATTAACTCTCTTTCCTTGTATCGATTGGGCAATATTTTAATGACTCATGATAAGAAACTTATCAGTTGGTAAAAGGACAGTATTATCAGTAATGCTGACTTGACTTAGGCAAATATATTGGAAATTATAATATCCTCCAATTCAGTGAACAAACACATTTGATTTTATCTGTAGAAACTGACTTTATGAAGGTAGCTAAATACTGACCATCTTTAGGATATGGAGTAATTTTATCTTGCTACTAATATTTAGATTATACATTCAAGGATTATAATATTCATCATGATGAGATATGTAGTATATGACTTTGATGTGTTAGGATATAACATTTATTTTTGCACTATATGATTTATATGTATTAGAATATATCACATATTTATTTCACATGACACAGAGCAAACAAAGGCTGTTGTGTAGAAATCATGAATGACATTAAATTGAATGTTTCCTGAACCTTCATGTTTACAATCCTTCTGATTATCTCAAAGTTGAAATTCTGCTATTTCAGTTTCTGAAACACAATATAAAACAAATAGGTTTTTTCCTCCTTTACAAACTGCCTTCTAATATTGAGATAAAATAATCCCTTTGCCCATAATTAGCTTCCTATGACAGGAAGCTAGTCATAGAAATATAGTTTCTAGTAGGTTAAGAGAATGTAATACATGTCATTTATTTGGACACTTGCAGCATTTTTTTTTTTTTTTGATTTTCATTCAAGCAGACATTTTTTTTTCACAAGAGAAAAAAATATGGCTGCATCACCTTATAGTAAATGAATGAAGGATCAACTAGATGAAAAGATGTATCTAAATTTCTGAATTCAGTGGCATAATAGTCATTCCGAGTGCTCTTAATCAGGGTATTTTTATTACCCTGGTATTTTGAACAACTTGAATGCTGAGTATAGTAACGTAAAGAACACACTTAAGGGTTAGAACAGATTTTAGAAATTTTTCCAGTAATTCTGAAGGTATAAATTAGTTCAAAAAGATCTTGAAATTGGTGAAAAATCACATAAAAAGGGCAATCTTTGTAAAGATAAATTTTAACATATATTGTGAAGCAAAAATAAAGGTTATGTAGAAGACTTACCAAAAAAAAAATCTTAAATTTAAATTATGGCCCAGTGGTTTCATTTTTAAAAAAATTCTATCCATTTATGTTATTTTTCCCCAAGGAAATAATAGAGTTTTTCCCCTTAAAAACTTCATTTAATAAAAATAATTCTGAATTTTTAAATTAAGTAATCATTTAGCTACCTATGTATGTCTGTATCTCTTCCAATTTTTTTTTTTTAATTTTCAAATAACAACAACGTTATAGTGAATTCGAACAATTTTACATTAATAGGAAACTTGTTGAATGTTTCCATATATCAACTCCTAAGTGTGAAAAATGGCAAAGAGATTTGGTGTTACATATGACCTGTACAGTTCTATCAGCAGTGAATTTATATTTTCTACTTCTATATTTTTACATTTATTTTAGGTTCGAGGGTACATGTGAAGTTGTGTTACATAGGTTAACTCTTGTTATGGTAGTTTGTTGTACATATTGTTAGAATTTCACAACAAGTCTTCTGTTTCCTCTTTACTACATTCAGTCTCTACTGGTCTGAGAAACCCAAGTTGAGTATCATGTAGGTGTTATTAGAGCTTAGATTGGAAAAATCCAGGAAAGATTTTTTAAAAGCCAAGAAAAAAATGTTTTCATGCTTTGGTCATACTCTTCTTGATTACTCTGAACACTTGTGGTTGAGTCAGCTAATGAAGAATTTGAAATATGTGGGAAAGGTGCAAGGAGAAATAAAAATTGTATTGAAGAATTCTCAGAATTGTGTGTCCGATAAAACATTTAAGGAAATAGAATACTTTCATTTGAAACAGAAAACGTAGTTAGATAATTATTCTTCAGGTACTATATATGAAGAGATCTTATAGAAAAGGTGGCCAATTCCTTTTTTTTTTTTTAAGTATAATAAACCTGGACTGTTATTAGTATAGATTTTCAAACTTTGAGAGTTTTAAATCACTGGAATAACTGAAGATAGCAGTTTGAAAATTTCTTCCTTTGAGAGATTTTTAAAGTAAAACAGATCTTATCTTGGGCTATCTGGGGGACAAAAGTGCTCATTAATCCAACATGAAATCTTTTAAACCTAGGATTATTTGATCATAAATTAGTTACTGTTTTACATTCTGTAAATAGGTCATTAGCTTTATCCCTTCAATCAACAGTGACTTTGCTTTTCTGAAACCATGCAGAGAAGAGAGTAACCAGCTTAACAAAGCATCTTATGCTCAACAATGGTCCCAGTCGAATAATTGTCCAGTTTTCAATAGAGAATTAGTACAGTCCTCTCTAAAGGTTTAAGAGATGATCAAAATAGCCCCTCTGCTTTTGGAATGGGAATTTCCCTGGGAGCTGAACTAATTTCCTCTGGCTAGAATAGATTTAAACAAATGTTTTAATAGCACATTTTAAAAATCACAGCTATCTTATGCTGGCCATTATTGCCATTCTCTTAGGATTATATTTTATAAGGTAAATATCTATAAAAAGAGACTATTTTTCTGGTATTTTAAATAAGCAATTTTAGCTTAGAAATAACTACTTTGTGGCTTATAATGGTATTTATTTTACAAACTTTCTTTTTTTCCAGAAACTTTGTAGAGATAAAATTAATACTATATCCAAATTTATTTTTAATTTAAGAAATTCAATCACGTGAATATTTCTGCCAAGAACTGTGAGGAATAAAAGTGCAAGATATGACCACTGGTTCTAAATTGCTATAGTCTCATTGTGGAGAAAATTCATTTGTAAAAAAATTAAATGTAGGATTGCAGTTAGTTACAAGTGCGGACTTTGTTATAAGTATTTGCTCTTTTTACACCTTAAGCTGATCCTTTTTATGTCATGTGTGTATTCAAAGGGATGTAGAAAATAACAATCAATGAATGAATGAAGTGCTGCAGTCATTCAGAGAATCAGTGTAATTAAATTTTAAAGGTAAAATACAGGTAAAACTTAAGTAAAAAATGTTATAGATAAAATAAAAACAGCAGGTTTGACTTAGAAATGTATTTAGCATATAATGTTACATGTCTGCTTTAAAGGTATTGAAATCCTCATCAGAGAGAATTTTATTAATGGTGGGGAGCAATGCTAAGGAGAAAAGGTTGCTTTAAGCCATGAAATGTCTTAATTCCATGGTAGGCAGCCTATGCTTTGTTCAGTGGTAGGGATAGTCACAAGAAACACATCAATGAAATGGTATTATATCACTTTCTGAATAATTGACATAAGGGAAAAAAAGTAAGAGAAATCAATGATTATGTCAAATTTCAGACTCTGAACAACTGGAAAAATGTGTGATGGATTGATGAATGGCAATATAAAAATTAAGAAGGAGGATGGTGAATGATTCATAGAGTGAGATTTTCCAATTTTTGAAATATCCTGAACTGATTTTCTGAGGGTTCCCTTTTACTAACTTTTAATCTCAAACCTATTCTCTTTTTCATATTATTGACCTTTTGATAGTAGAACAGATACAAACGGTTCATTTGTGTTGTTTTTATTTTATACTGTTACTGCACTTCTAGTTTATCTAAGAGTGAGTTTTTCAGTAAATACACAGGAGTCTTGTAATGTTGAGATAAATAGAAATTAATATCTCAGGCCAGGCATGGCGGCTCATGCCTATAATCTCAGCACTTTGAGTGGGGGAGGTGGGTGTATTACTTGAGCCCAGGAGTTCCAGACCAACCTGGGCAACATGGTAAAGCCCTGTTTCTATTAAAAATACAAAAATTAGCAGGGCATAGTGTTACTTGCCTATAGTCTCAGCTGCTTGGGAGGCAGAGTGGGGAGGACTGCTTGAGCCCAAGAGGCAGACTTTGCAGTGAGACAAGATTACCACCACTGCACTCCAGTCTGAGCAACAGAATGAGACTCTGTTTTAAAAGTTAAAAAGAAATTAATATCCCATAATCGATTTTAGATCTATTTTACCATTGTCTTTTTAATATATCATATTTGTTTAATGTTGTTAAATATTATCTAACTTAAAAATCGTGATGATTAATAAGAAAAATGGATACCATGAGTCAAAAACCACTGATATATGACAAATGGCACTAACTAGGGAAGTACAAAATTAGATAATTGTTTTATCAAAATAAACAAATATGTTGGAGAAAGATACAGAATTTCAGCATATAGCTTTAAATTTGTAATACTCTGCTTGTCTAAAAGAAAGGATAGCAGTTCACCAAGAGAAATATTTTTCTCTCTTAGGTTTTATGAAGATGTTAATGCATTTAAACAAAATAATAGCCTGTATCCTGAATACAACTTTGTAAAATATGGGAAAGGTCTTCTGCATGTGGTTGTTTCTTGTAACAGCCTTTGAGAGACACCGTGAACAAAATTTACATGAAATTAATCCAGGAACCAAAGTGATTATGACAGCATTCTGATTATTTGGAAACACAGGGGAAAAGTCTGAAGAGTCTTGAGGAGTAAATGGTTGGCACCTTATTCCTTAGACAATTATCTTGCATATCAGCTATCTCCAGCAGGCTTAAAATAGGAGTTTTGTGGCAGACAACTCATAAATGAGGTTTTAATGAGTATGTGAAAGGCAGGCATTTTTCATTCATGACTGAAAAAGCACCTCTACACTATAGATATCAACCATGTTGAAAACAAAGACATTTCATTGTGAAAGTTGAAGGCTATGAATTTATTCATTTAGGCAACACATATTCTAATTTAGCCTGTATTGCTTTTAATTCTACTTATCACCAGAAGTTGAGGTACCTATGTGCAGGATTAAATTTGTTTTTGTCAGGAAGGAATGCTAAATGTTTAAATGAATGCTAAAAGGCTATCTAAAAGTTGTATATGTCTATGAAAGATTTGGACAGATTTTGGAGATATACTGCATACTGTCAAACAATAAAGCCCTGAGTTGACTCTGTTAATGAGTTTAATTAGATTGAAATTCTATTGCAATTAATCTGCCAGGTGAACATGGTTTATACGTAGATTTATACAAAATGTGCACATTTCTCTTGCTATTGTTTTAACCTATGTTCTATACTAGGTAGTTATGAAAGTTTTGTTATTTGGAATAAAGCTCTTAACACCTCTAAAGAGGAAATGTTTGCTATGTAATATGAGTTTGAATGAGTAAGTATAAACACTGGAAGTCTTTAAAAGGAAAATTCAGTTTCTTTTCAGTTAGAGAGATTCATGTATGGAATAGAGATCAGTAAACAGACCATCAGTTAACAAAATTACAGAATTTGATTCATTTATTTCTTCTCATGAACTGCAGCAGTTTTCTTTGCTAATTAGAAGAGGTACACTTATTTCTTCTTCCTTGTTCATAATTATTATCTCTTGCATCTTTGAGCATCCATAATAGAAATATAACAAAATTAAAACATATTAGGTTCTCAATTTTCACAGCTTTTACAAACATTTGTACATATATTTTTGATATTATAACCTCAGAGAACAATAATTTTCTTTTGAATAATTTATTTTAAAAGGATTTTCTATGCCTGACAAACTCTCATTTGTTTTCCCAGCATAATTAACAACTATGACTTTTTATTTCATTTGTCGTAACATTCACATTAATGAATTCACCTTTTGTCTTGCTTTGAATTTGATACTGAAAAGACGTTTTATGCTTCGTTGCTTTCTAATATGTCTCAGGTAATCAGTCCTGCTACAGTAGCTTATATAATACTTATCTGAGGCAACAAGGGAGACTTTTCTAGGAAATAGTTTATCTCAAACTGATTTTTGTTTCAATGAGGTCATTATCAATATAATGGAAGGTGTTTTGACAAAGAAATCTATGCAATTATAGAAACTGAGAAAGTATATAGACAGATAGCCACACTTAGTATTTTTCCATATAGCCTCAAATCTCTTTAACATTAAATGTGTTAACATTCTAACCTGCTCATATTACATAAATGAAAAGAGCTCCTGGTAACTTTACATTTAGCACAGTTGTACATAAATATCAATCTGAAATATTCTGACTTTTCCAGATTGTATCCCATTTTTGACATTCACTGAATCTCCTGTGGAGTAAGCACCCTGTACACGTCAGACTTTTTATTTATACAGCTAAGAACACTGATTTCAGTCTTCCTGTTAAGTTTTGCAGAGACTGTGAATCAAAGCATTTTGGTGATAATAAATACATGCATTTATGCCTGTAATCCCAGCTACGTGCGAGGCTGAGGCAGGAGAATCACTTGAACTGGGGAGATGGAGGTTGTGGTGAGCCCAGATCATA